AAGGTGATTACAAACGCCATCTAAAAAAGCAAAGATGACCTAAAAATATCAATATCCATTTTTATCTAAAAACCAAAACATACTGGAAAATACAAACATTTACTGAGTACACAAAGACTAGTTTTAAGATTGATTTACACTCCAATATCTTGTTAAAATACAAACAGTCCTGCTCAGAATAAAACCGGAAAAAAGTTTTAACAATTATTGTTGAAGTTTTAAAAAAGTTCAGGTGACTTATTCAAGAGGACGCTGAAACATCCTCACTTTTCCGTGTGCGACTTATCACATACCGTAATTACAGTTATTAGGAATTTAAATTTTTAAAAAAATCACCACCACCACTGTTTTTAGCTAACTACATCAAACAAGATGGACCACCTCTTATAATGTGAAGTCATATCAGGTAACAATCACAACATCACACTGAAAAAAAATCCTATCAAAACAATGAGCATTTCAGAGCAGTACTTGGATTAAACCAATGCTAAGAGAACATCCTTGAGGTCTTGAATAGGAGCAAATGATGACCCTCAATTTTCCACCTTCCAACAAAATCTCAATCCTGTTGTTCTGCCACTTTTTCCACTGTAAAAACATTTTCACACCTCAACTGCAGAAAATTTACAGACAAGAAGTTACAAGATAAAGAAATACAGTTTCTATTCCTAGTTGTTGCGTATCCTCTCATTGGACCTAACATTCTGATTTTAATGGGAAAAATGGTAGGCTAATTTAAGAGAAATTTTATGAGTCCCCCACTCCTGCACACATTTTTCATCCTGCTCTTGCAGACTTTGATCCTTGCTTTTTTTTCCCCCCAGGTTTAAAAACAACACTAAAGTTGTATTTTGGTTAAGCTTTTTCAGATCTTGCTTTAGTCTCATTAGAATTGGTTGAAAAATGCTACCTATTTTTTTTTTAATGGAACGTTTGAAGATTTTTTTTTTTTTCAAAATTTCAACTTTAAAAAAAAAAAGTATGGGGAAAAACTGAAAATATGTTGGCATTGTTTGCTTTTGGAAAAACTATAAATTTTTAAATAAAACATTTTAGCTGTAAATTTTCAGTTTGCTGCAGAGGGGCCAAATTGACCAGCTCAATTCTGACTGAGTACTGGCTTGGGCAAAAATTCTCCTGAAATTAAAATGTCCACTGAAATCAATGAGATTTTTAACCTGACAATGGCATGCAGGATCAAGGTCTTATTTTGTGTACTTGGCTTTCTCTCTTGTGTACAGTGTCACCAGATGCTTGCATCATATTTGCTTTGTAACTAGGGATTTGATTTGTTGCTTTGACATCCTTCTTACAGTAGCTCAGAATAAACTAAAGAGGGATACATCACAAAGCTGTAAACCCAACATGTCCTATTTAACATTAATTCCTCTGTAAACAAATTAGTACAATTAAGTGTTCATCCTAGATTTAAAATGAATAAATATCACAGATTAAAGGTTGTGTCCTAATAGTTCCTGAATGCTTCAGTAGTGAGGGTTAATAATAAACTTTAATTTTAAAAGCAAAGCTTTGGCATCTAACTCGGGAAGAAATGGGCCCAAGTTGTGATGTTCAGATCCATATCTGAACGCTTGTACAATGTACAAGTATTTTGGATCTAGGATTTCAGTTCAGCTTATGGCAGAGGCAGCCATAAATCTAAACCTTGGGCTCCCCAAAGTTCAGGGGCATTGGTTCTGAGCTTTGATTTCACCCTATCACTATTTAAGAGGTGATCTTGGCTTCTTGAGGTTTCAGTTTCTCACCTATGAATACTGGCTAACCTGTCCCACTTGACTTCAGTGCACTCCTATGACTCACCAAATGATGTTGGCTGGCTTTGGTGTTACAGTGCACACAAAAAGAGTTTTTTCTTTATAAAGTTTTCTTGGCCAGCAATACCTGATCAGATCATCTCCAAAGAAGGACATGAAGAACTTGAAGACTGGAAATAGAAGCATGACACCCTTCCCCGCCCTGCCATCCTGACTATTTTTAGCTGTGGTGGGGGGTCTCATTTAATATGCTAATTGGAAATAGTTGTTTTCTACAGGATATGTGTCAAATGCCTGGATGTGAGGAAAAGGCCATCTTTCCTGCCACTGGGCCTGAAATGCTTTAGTAGCCTATGCTGTCCACTCAATACATGTCTTATTTAACCCTTTATTTACACGGTCTCCCCACTTGATCCCACAGTGACCAGAACCCACAGATTCATAATCAATTACATAACACAGTGTTCAGTCCTTCTTCCAATGAGAACAAATGGCATTTAAGCTATTGTTATCAATGGGTACAGGTTTGAATCCAATTATGGCAAAGATGGACACTACCAAATTGTCAATTCTGATCAACAACATTCTCTTGATGGAGGCTTATCAGCTGGACATTTTCACTTACTTCAGATCTAGAGATATTTGGGACTGAGACTGACTCACCATATCCCTCTGCAGGTGAGCTGGTAGAGTGCACACTCCATTAAAAATAAACTAGAGTTCTGATCAGTCACGGATCATGTGATTATAGAGATTATATAAAATGTTCTAAAGTTTTATTCCTAAAACAGTTAGAAGATTGCACTTAGTCGGCACTGGTATAGCTCAGTGTTTCTGATCTTCCCCCCACTACTACCTGAACCCACATTCAAAAGCTGACTTTCCACTGCAACTTGGATACTGGTACATAGAACTACTGTGCTTTTTTATTTTTGTATAATGTATAAAAATAGATCCATGTTGGATCTCATATTTCAATGAGAACACCTGTAAACTCATAGATTTGTTTGGACCGGAGTCATCAATAGGTGAAAAAGGAAAATTAATAAGAACCAAAACAAATTCTGATCATGAAATAATGTACCGATACAGACTACTGGTTGTCATTCTACTACATGACCTTGATGAGACCATGACTAGTAAAAGGTGAACTACAAGAGTTTGGAAGGTTTGGTTTAGATAAGAATCCTAAGTTTTGATTAACTGATGCTTATCTGAACTGTTTTGCTTATCTGATTCTTATTTGAACCATGAAATTTTCAGTACTTCTTGATTTTAGCAACACTGGAAATACTTTCAGTGAATGAAATGTAAAAAGTGAGACTTGTTTTTTAAATGTAAATATTTGGTTTACAAGTTTTTGGACCTGGGATATTTTTCCCCTTAAATGAAATCAGTTCACCTATGATTAGTTACGATATCTAGTGCCTCAGTGATATAGGACAGGTAAAATAAGTCACGTTACAAAGTAAACTAGAAAATTAGTTATCATTTGCAATCATAAATATGTACAAAACATAAATTGAAATAATCGTTTACAGTTTGTTTTGTTTTTGTTTTAATTTGGCAGCATATAATGGTGAAATGTAAGTTTACCAGCAGGTAAAATTTAGCAAGCTGATAGAGCATTAGGAAACTTTCTAAAATGTGAATATGCTCACTGGAGTGCAAAATTGTGGGTTGGTGAATAGCATCTGGCTCTTTCTTGCAGTCAGGATGAATAGCACAGTCTGAGCTGGAGAAATTTACACCAACACAACTTCAGTGAGGTCATTGCATATGTATGTGACACTTTCACTTAGAATATGGAAGCGACTGATTTGAATGGCACAGTTTGATTCAAAATGGAGCTGGACTCTCATTCTTGTTTATTTGTAGTTTTAAAGGTATAGTATTAACCCTCTGGTTCCTAATGCAAAAACCACCCTCCATCATGCGTGAAGCATGATTGAATATTCATCTCATGCACACCACCTACTTTTGCAAGCTGAACCTTCAAACTATTTTTCTAAGTAGTGTTTCTTTTAGCTATGCACCTTCTGATGCTCTAATGTGAGCATATAACAAAATACCATGTAATTTACACTAACGGATGCAAGGCATTGAATTATTGGGTTGCTATTCTGACTTAACTCATGCCATATATATCACTCAAGTATAAAGTGATTGGGGAAAGATAAAGAGCCTGGTCCAAAGCCGGATCAGGCCTACTCTGTTTCCACAAAAGTTGGAATATATAACAACATGTATTACAGAGTTTTAGCTTTATTTTAGTTGCTCACTTTGGATAGTTAAAGGTAAAACAAACAAAAAAAGAGGTGTTGATTTTAATTTTTTTTCCTCAAGTAAAATTCCCAAAATCCAATTGCAATCATGTTGACTTAGAAAATTCTTCTGTAAAGATGGTCAAGACACCTAAAATAGCTTTAGGTGGCTATTACTATCAGCATGTGAAAGGTGGTATTTGCCATCACAAATTATAAAAGTGTTTCATCTACAACTTTCACAGTATAGGAATTGGAAAAGGAAACAAAAGCAATATGATGTTGGCTGTTTTTGTTGCTGGAATTCAGCCCTGCTGACTTAAAAACAGTGATTCAAGCTATAATGACTCTCCAACTACACAAGACAGTCTTTTGGTCCCTTTCTTACTTATAAATTGCCACTTCCATTTTACATTATTATCAATGCAACATAATTCACACGTGTTGGTGCTGCAATGATCAATGAGTGCATGCCCTGAAGAAGAACTCTCTGTATCTCTTGTCTCCCTCACCAACAGAAGTTGGTCCCATAAAAGATATTACCTCACCCAGCTTGTGTGTCTAATATTCTGGGACCGACATTGCTGTAACAACACTGAATACAGTTAATACACGGGACACCTTTTTTTTTTCTAAATGTCCCACATAGGAATGTTAAGAACTGGCTATATTCCCATTTAAACTCCAAAATCTACCATTGAGAAACTGAACTGGCAATAGTATAAGCAGGTACAGGATCTGCTGCTGAATCTCCCCCGATCCCTTTGACTAGCCTAACTGTAGTGCTATGATTATTTCCAAGTACAATAGCCAAGTGGAACAGGCTGGATTTCTTGAGGGAGCCTCTTCTCAATTTATGTTGAGGTTTATTGGGAAGGGAAAAATCTATCCAGATTTTTTAAATTTTTCAGGGAGCAAAACTCTACTAGAATTCTTGACCCAGTC